TCTGTCAAGAGCTTGGGAGATATTATATTAGTATAACTTTTTGTGTTTTTAGTATATGGGAGGGTCCTCTTTTGACTGGGGGGAGGGCCTGGGCCCAGGGGTGGTGGCCCCGCCCACACCACCTTTAGCTCCGCCCCTGTTTGTGATCCACAAAAACTGACATATTTATTACTCTGATGGTAGCTTTTTGAAATCAGGTAATTGTTTTTAATTTACTATCTTCTTAATAAGAGATTTCAGTTCCTACTGAGTCTGCTGTTGATTCTGTTAATAGATCACTTGACCATATGATCCAGATGAGTTTTTGACTTAAGTATGAGATACACAGATTTTTTTCTTGTGATTCATACCTGTCCTCTTTCTATTCACAAAGTGTTTTCTGTTTAGTATTAAGCAAACTGTTTCCACAAATTAGCAAAACAATATCAAGGAGATGTGAGTAATTCAATTTTGGATTATATTTGTTTTCTCTATCACGCTTTGTGCAGTAATACATCATGTGTATCTGCTTATGTTACAGCAGAGACAGACCATGGCATCTGGAAGTTCAGACTTCCAGAGACATGTAATTTGTCACCTGTGATGCAATCTTAGTGGTGCAGAACTTGAAGTATGACCAAGAAGAGTCAACTTAAAGTCTCAGAGAAGACTGAGCTGTTGTGTCAAGTAGCTCCACTGTGCAAGGTTGAGGTGGGCAATGTAGCCTTAAGATTATATCAGCGGAAAAAATAAGAACAATGCCCTCCCTGCAAAGATATCACTTCAGTACCTTAGTTACGTTTCAAATGTTTCTTCAGCAGTTGTGGTACAATTTTTCATCCTTTGATGATGAGAAGGGTACATATATTAGCCAAAATCAAGAAGTCATATGCGATTCATTCTTTAACATGATATAAATTTCACATATTTGATATTTCAAGGAAATTTGTGATAATGATATTTATGACAATATTGAAAAAAATATTCATATCAGTGATTGCAGCTTGCAGGTAGCAGCAATTATTATTCATTATCTATCCATAATTTGACGACTTAATGCTTTAGTGTAACAATAACCTTGTAACTCTTCAGGAGCGTGCACAATATTGTCATCTAATAAAACTGACCTCAAATTTTAAAGACAAATGTAAACAAACAGCAGAAAGCCAAACAGACTTTCAGTCAAAATGTAAACACTCACTGCTTATGAAAATAAAATAAAAATGTAGTCAAAACTTAAATAATTGCCTTGCATTTTTTTTTAAAACTAACATCAAATGAGGTTGAATATTAGTGCTAGAACTGTTGCATTGCTTCTAATTTCTTGTGTAAACAAAGTGTTAAGTGAGAATATCCAGGCTACAGCTGTATAAGTAAACACTTCAAGAGTTCAACTAGCCATACAGCGGACAGACACATCACAGCCAGAGCTTTAGATTCTTTGCCAAGAACACCACCTTTAATTCGTTATGACAAATGATTTCCTTCAATATTACTACGTAATTATGTAACTCAAATTATCACAAAACAAAAAAGTGGTTTGTACACTGTACAAAGATTCGATAGCGTACTACAGCGGCATTAGTACTATGTATGAGCGCCTGAAGAGGGAATGCACAGCTGCTATTCTAGATGGTGGACTGCCAGAAAAGGCAAAACTACCTTAAATGTTGTTTATTCATGTTTATTAAAGCTGCTAGATTGATACACTCATTAAAGCCATAAAGTCGTCTGCTTGCTACCTTAGAATCTCCACTGAACAAGAATTTCAGAAAATGTTTAGGCTAGAATCTGGGCTTACTCTACATTGATTGAAGGTGCCAGTGTGTGTTTGTGTGCGTTGTGCTTGTTGGGATCAGAGTTGTTAAAGTAAGCTAAAACTGAAAAGAAAACGGAAACTAATTTTTAAATAATCGTTAAATGAAATAAAAATATTCACCTAAAAAACCTGTCAGACTTTAAACTTCAAAAACTGCCGCCACACCACCAATGTCTTTTTACCTTGTTTATCCACAATATCTCCTGTCTTAAAAGGTGCTGCGGCTGCTGGGCTGTGGAACTGGGAAAATGATTCACTTCCATAATGCGCATCTTAAAAGAGTCAGCATCTTGTCTAAAGCACAGTGAATGATTAAATGTGTATGTCAGTATAATCCAGTCGCTCACAACTGTTCTACATGATTATATGGTGCATTTGCAATAATCACCAGGGCTTCAGATAATGGGTGTAAACATTTGTCCAGAAAGTGGCTATTCGGTATGTATGGACATTTACTTACACCCACAATTTGGTAAGCAGATTAGTAGTATGTCTAAAATTAGAGAGAGACATATAAAGGTTGGCTACACATAGGTGAATGAGACATTCAGAAATTTCATGTGGTTTGATTAAGAAGATAGTAAATTAAGTGTATGGAACCCCTAAGGAGACAAAGGAGGAGAAAAAAAATGGCAGAAGAAGAAGAAAAAAAAAAAAAAAGGTCATGTTTTGAAACATAACCCAAAACTTTTCCGTAGTAATGTAACAATAAAATCATGTGAGTAGCGTACTTTTGGTCATCCAAGTGCAACTTCCAAAGCCGCTGTTTGCATGATGTGGTTGATCCCCGCTTCGCTTATTAATCTAATTTAACGGTTAAAAAAAACTTCAGAGTTCAGTGTGGTAATATTTGATTGTTTAATTCACAATTAGTAATTTGTAAAGCAAGCCTTGGTAAAGTTTCAGTAACATTGCTAATTAATGCTAATCTGTTGAGGTTGATTTAAGCCTAAATAATTGTTCATTTTTTGTTGTTGTTTCGTGTTTATAATTAAATAATATAAATCAAATGCACATCCTCTTTTCTCACATGAAATCCATTTATTCTGCATTTTACGTACATCCATCAGTAACCATGAAGCTGCCCAGAGTGCAAAAGCTACTCGTGAATAAAGTTAATTACATCACCCAAGTCGGAGTATAGTTTTTCCGTCGGAATAATCCCCTTTCACATAAAATCCTCTTAATCTGCCTCAGACTCATGTGAACATCATGCCTAGATCCGAGAACAAACTGAAGGTCTACATTCTCTACAATATAAGGACAAAGATCAAAGTAAAATTCGATTAAACGCTCCGTGTTTTCCTATCAATTATATGTTCCTTACTCATATTTACTCATGATTACTCATATTTCCAGTTCAAAGTCACAACAGTTTTGCATTATATCGCAAAAGTTTTAAGTAATAACGCAAAGGTTTTGGGTTATAACGCAAAACATGACTTCTTTTTTTTTCTTTTCTTCTGCCGTTTTTTGTCTCCTCCTTTGTCCCCTTAGGGGCTCCATAAAAGTGTTAGTAACTTTGGAGCGACACTATTTTTTTTCCCCCAAAATCAGTGGCCTACACAATAAACATTGATGACATAGGTGTCACCACACCTTTAATAGTTTGCATACTGTCAATCGGCGATCAGTCTGGAATGTCACTGTCACTGTCACTGCCCCCCCCACATCCATCACTTTGGAAAGGAAGTGTGAATTTTAAGAAGAGACAATTATAACCTTTTTACAGTTTATAACATGCGACGGATTAAACGCTGATGAATAAAAAGTGTATTATACTGGAATATTACAAAACAATAAATGAATAATAGAACAATCAATTGTCAGTCCTGATCAATATGCCAAGCTTCAAAACAGTTTCTGTCAGGTTGAAGGCAAAAGGACACACATAACTTGTCACATGCTGTACCCTTTCCAAGGAGTGTGTGTGTAGAATATTGTAGCACCGGTGAGATGCATCCATGTAGCGGAGCCTATTAGCATATCTCAGCATGTGGCCTATTAGCATATCTCAGCATGCATGCAAGCCTGTTAGTATTTGGGTTGTAAATACTTTGGCTGCGTCTTTGGTTTATGTAAGTGTGTTTACCTGTGTGTGCCCCGAACTGTGCCAGTTACTCGTACGTTTCCGTGGTCTCTGTAAGTAGTTATGTGTGTACCTTACATTCCAGCATCAGACGTGGTTTTTCTCCATTATATACGATGGGAGTGTGATAATTATTTGTGTGTGGCCCCTTTGTGGGCTACAATAAAACTGCTGCTTCATTCAGAAACTGTCTTTTTTTAGTTTAGTTTTTTTCACTGCCATGTTTCGATTTGCTAAACGCCACAAGGGAATTTTCCGCAAAATACATTCATATTTTACTGCTGAACCGGGGCACATTTCGCAAAAGCTTCCGTTTCAACTTAGATTCCGTTGCATAGCTCTAAATGTGTAAGCCGCTAAGGTACAGTTGTGGCCAGAAGTTTTGAGAATGACACAAGTATTGGTTTTCACAAAGTTTGCTGCTTCAGTTTTTGTCAGATGTTTCTGTGGTATACTGAAGTGTAATTACAAGCATTTCATAAGTATCAAAGGCTTATATTGACAATTACATTAAGTTTATGCAGAGTCAACATTTGCAGTGTTAGGCCTTCTTTTTCAAGACCTCTGCAATTTGCCCTGCCATGCTGTCAATCAACTTCTGGGCCAAATCCTCACTGCTGGCAGCCCATTCTTGCATAATCAATGCTTGGGGTTTGTCAGAATTTGTGTTTGAGTTTTTGCTTGTCCACCCAAATCTAGTCAAATCACATCACTTTTATTGTCACGTCACTTGTCACCAGTACACAGGTACTACACATGTGAGTGAAATGCTTGTGTGCAAAGCCTCTCAATGAGATTAAGGTCTGGGGAGTTTCCTGGCCATGGACCCAAAATATTGATGTCTTGTTCTCGGAACCACTTAGTTATCACTTTTGCCTTATGGCACGGTGCTCCATCATACTGGAAAAGGCATTGTTTGTCACCAAACTTTTCCTGGATGGTTGGGAGAAGTTGCTCTCGGAGGATGTTTTGGTACCATTACTTATTCATATTCGTGTTCTTAGGCAAAATTGTGAGTGAGCCCACTCCCTTGGCTGATAAGCAACCCCACACATGGATGGTCTCAGGATGCTTTACTGTTGGCATGAGACAGGACTGATGGTAGCGCTCACCTTTTCTTCTCTGGACAATCTTTCTTCCAGATGCCCTAAACAATCGGAAAGCGGATTCATCAGAGAAAATGACTTTACCCCAGTCCTCAGGAGTCCAATCGCTGTACTTTTGCAGATTATCAGTCTGTCCCTGATGTTTTTCTTGGAGAGAAGTGGCTTCTTTGCTGCCCTTCTTGACACCAGGCCATCCTCCAAAAGTCTTCACCCCACTGTGTGTGCAGATGCACTCGCACCTGCCTGCTGCCATTCCTGAGCAAGCTCTGCATTGGTGGTGCCCTGATCCCACAGCTGAATCAACTTTAGGAGACTGTCCTGGCGCTTGCTGGACTTTCTTGGGCGCCCTCAAGCCTTCTCTTTTGAACCTCTCTCCATGAAGTTCTTGGTGAGCCAATAAATGGTTGATTTAGGTGCAATTGTAATAGCAGCAATATCCTTGCCTGTGAAGCCCTTGTTGTGCAAAGCAATGATGACGGCATGTTTTTCCTTGCAGGTAACCATGGTTAACAGAAGAACAATGATTTCAAGCACCACCCTCCTTTTAAAGCAGCCAGTCTGCTATTCTAACTCAATTAGCATTACAGAGTGACCTCCAGCCTTGTCCTCATCAACACTCTCACCTGTGTTAATGAGAGAATCACTGAAATGATGTCAGCAGGTCCTTTTGTGGCAGGGCTCAAATGCAGTGGAAATAGATTTTTTGGGTTGAAGTTCATTTTCATGGCAAAGAGGGACTTTGTAATTAATTGCAATTCATCTGATCACTCTACTTTACATTCTGGAGTTTATGCAAACTGGCACCATAAAATCTGAGGAAGCAGACTTTGTGAAAAATAACATTTGTGGCATTCTCAGAACTTCTGGCCACAGCTGTAATTAGCAACTATGCTTTAGGTAAATATACCCCCGTTGCATCATTTATGTGAATTATACAAGTGTCTTAGATGTATTTAACTTAAGTTAAATAAAATGATTACTTACTTGTAGTCTTATACTTGGAAAAAAATCTCATAAAGGTAGTTAAAAATGCTAAAAACCTACTTTGCATGTATTTATAAAGACTTATATGAAGGATGTATAAAGTTTTTACAGTAGCAATCAAAATTAGATAAGTCACAGTTGTAATGCACCCTGCGGTGTCTTGGTGACTCCTGCCTGAGTCCGTTATTCCCGGGACAGGCTGCGGTCCACCCTGCGACCCCAGTTGGGATTAATTGGTTACGGTGATGAATGAATGGATGGATGGATGGATGGTAACAGCTGTAATTTACAAAGTTACTGCTTATCCGAATTTGCAGTTTTGAAATGAAGAGATGTATTTTTACCGCATTTCCTCAGTGAAAACTCTCTCACATCATAAAATAAAAGGTTGTAGCTCCTCAATCAATGTAAACCAAACCCAGACATGTGCTGGTTAATGGAAGTTTTCACATGTTTTCTTGACCCAGTAACAACCGTGGGATTATCAGATTGCTATCATATGACCAGCGCTATTTGCAAATGAGTGGCAATCAACAGTACTTTGAGACTCGAGTGAATCACTCTTGTACTTTTAATTCTCTCTATGAAGCTGCATACCACGTTTTGCTTTTTGCAAATCAAAAAGACGTTAAGGCTGCACCTTCTTTTTCGGGTTAAGGGGGGTGGGCGTGTCTCGCCAATGAGGGGAGAAACACCCATCACTCCAAAGCACGTAACTTTTTAAGCACTTTTCTGACTTACGTACTTCATAGGAGGATAGACCCCTTAGTCTGTAACAGAGAGGCTGATATTTGAAAATAATTCTGAAACAGTATACCATACTCCACCCCAACCGCACAGAAGTACTCACGGCTGCTCCGAAACTGCTCTAATGGGGCCTTCGTGTTTCTGGGGCACGTCTCCCCATCACCCATACCGGCCGTCCTGAGGAATCAAAAGAACAAGAAGGGAAATAAAATATCTGCCATGGTCAAAAACTGATTATAATTAGAAAATATTACAGTGAATGAAAACATATGTAAGCATGGTAAACATTGATTGGAAGTGACTCACACAGAGCGTAGCTGAGAATATACCACATTAGGGCTTCTTACTCAACTAAGAGTTTAACTGCCTGTTTATAAATACTTTGTGTGAAGGACATTCAAGAACTATTTCAGAGCTATTTCAGCTGGATAACGAAGACCTTTGGCTTATTTTAGCACACTCTTTGGTTTCAAGTAATTTGTAGCTCCTGTCTGTATTTTTCCAGTTCAGTTCAACAGGTTCCTAATACCTCAAACATTGAATACAAGGCAATATGATATGATAACATCTCTTCCTTTTTGCTCATTGACCTAAATATTTTGATTGGCTATGACAGAACAGTCCAGCCCACCCACGGGCTACTCACATTTTATGATGCTCTCCATGGCTTTCAGTGTCTGCTTTGTCTCTCACCAACTGGTAATAAAGACAATAGAATCTTAGCAGACATTTTTACCATTCATCAAATTTTTTGGCAAGGATCTTCTGCTTCCTTTTGCCATCACGCAATCATAAGTTATGAATGCGGAGATTCCAATTTAGCCCATACCTGCAGATTTTTTTTTTTTTTAAATGTTTATTGTTCGTTTGCGATTTGTGTATAATATGAACCTATTAATGATTTAGCATGTTACTGGAGTATTATATTAAGCATGTAGATTATGTAATTAAAACACTGTGTGTCTCTTAGACTTGAGTAGAAAACTCATCTGGATCAGGATGGTTGAGTGACCTAGAACCTGAAAGAGTGAGGATAAGAAAGGAAATAATGAGGAAAACAGAAATCAGAATGGATTAAGGATGATGGATTTGTTTTGCAGCAGGTCGATGTACCCAATGGCATGTAACGAAGGAACTGTCAGTTACTCTGAGAGCTCAATCAGCAAATGGACTAAGTGCCCACACTTCTGAAACACTAACGACAATGCTCACTCCTTTACAGGGCTTATGAGAAAGTCTCTCAGCAGCATGCTGGGAATACTGTGTTATTATACCAAGAAACAAGGAACTGTACCAGCAGAGAGCTCCGCTGGACCAACTCTATTCAGGGGATGTGTCCCTCCTTAAAAGGAACATCTGAACAAGGGAGGATGTGATTGGTCTGTCTACAGGAAAGAGTGGGGATTCAGGCCTGGGACACAGATTGCAGGATAGCACAGCCAAGCAGGGAAGCGTTTCACTGTGAGCATAGTTTAAAAGTAGCAGATAGTGTCACATGACAGGAAAGTATGTCAGGTGGCTTGCTGAGGGACAGAGCCAAAAAGCAGGGCCACACAGCCTTTCAGGGGAGGGACTGAATAACACAGCCTGCCGGGGCAGGGGCACAGCCTCCCAGGGGCACAGCCTGCCGGGGTAGGGGCACAGCCTGCCGGGGCAGGGGCACAGCCTGCCCAGAGCCCCCTCACCTGAACACAATTGCGCTTTTGGGCCGCCCTGGCAGCCTGGCGCTGGGCTGCATACTCAGTCTCCTCTTCTACCCTTAACTGTTCCTCCTGAGCTGCTAACTGGGCAGAGATGATAACAGGAGATGTGTTAGGCGTCTAAAACCTGCTCTGGTGGGTGCTGGGGGGGGACAAAACATGAAAAACTGAGAACTGAAGGACAGCATTTTAAATTAAATCAAAACTTAAAGTTAAATGACAAAAATGAAAGATGGATTTATCTAACAAATGAAATATCCTTTTTTTTTTTAAAAAAAAAAGCCATTTTGTGAAATGAATGAAAGCACAACAATAAAATCTGTCCACTACATGTAACCAATATGCGATGTAACAGTGGGGGCTATTATTTAGTGCCCAAAGAGCAATGCCTGGGGGCGACACCTTACTCACAGCACCTCAGTGGTACCTTGGTAGTCGGGGATTCAAACCAACAACCTTTCAATCACAAATACACTTCCTAACCATTAGGTCACCACTGCCTCCATCACAACATACGAAACTCTTCATTAAAGTTTCATGATAAGTTCTCTTTTAAATTTACAGTAAACTGTATGTGAATTTCTTGTTGAGCAAAATGTTGAGTGAAAGTCTGAATGCTGTTGAGAGGATCTGAACACACTGTATGTGTGTCTATGAACATACGTGTTCATATGTTTGCAAATGACAGCTGAAGGGCAGACGCACCTCAGCTTGGAGCTTTCCGTCAATCAGCAGCTGCTTGTCAGTGATAGCGGCATAGCGGTTCTCTCTCAGGTAGGTGATCTCATCCTCATTGATAGGCCTGTGGCCCGAGAACATCACAAACAAACCACCTGTGAAGCATCTTCAACAAGCGACCTGGACCCATCAGCACCTGCCTGTACACTTTTGCTATTTATTTGGCGAAAAGCCTTCAAGCCACTTCCAGCGAAGAGCAGAAACTGTGAAATGCCTCAGAAAATGGACTTAACTCAATGAAATGGTGAAGTGGATAATATGTTATTCTAATCTTTGACATGGACCCTCATAAAAGCAAAATATTTAAAAAAATAATGAAAACTAAGCTCAAAACAGATGAGCTGAAATATGGATTATGCAGTCTAGACAGTCATAAAAATGCATTACTAACTACAAAACAATTTAGCAATTTTTACTGTTGTTAATTTCCTCTGAACTTTCTAAAGAAACATTAAAATAATTTAAAGAACTTCTATTGGAAGTGTATAACATTTTTTCCTCCACAACAATGCTTTCTGCCCAATTTTCATGGGTAAACAAAATAACGGAAACACCCTATGCACTTATATATGGCTCATCTTTTGCCTTCAGAGCAGGTTCAGGTGTCAGAGGTGCTGAACTGTGCAAGTGCCATTGATGATTATCATCTAGGAATGCAACAATATCATGGGGGAACATTGTTTGTGCCACTGAGTGCCTCTGGTTTTGCGGAATAGCCTCTTATTCGTTGGCCATTTTATGGCCATGCTGAGCAGTCGATGGACCTAATGAGTCCCACAAGATGTCTGCCTTTTCAAACAGCCACTGTGCTTCATTGTGATCTGAGGTATCCTCTGGCTTTCCCCATCCAGATACGGCAAAATCTTAAAAGGATGAAAAATGACATCATTTATTCTTCCCTTTTGCTCAGGGGCTCAGGTTTACAGTGGGCTTTGTGCTTTTTTGGTATTGCCCGTGGATGCAAGTGGTTTTTAATGGGGGAAGATGGTGGTGCAGGAGGGTTGCAGGTTTGAGCCCTGGTTCCTCCTGACCCCATCGAAGTGTCCTTGAGCAAGACACTGAACCCCAAATTGCTCCCGGTGTGCAGGTTGGCGCCTTGCATGGCAGCCTTCGCCACTGGTGTGTGAATGTGAGTGTGAATGTGAGGTATGTATTGTAAAGTGCTGTCAGTACTCATAGGAGTAGAAAAGCGCTATATAAATGCAGTCCATTTACCCTTTAAATGCAAACCCTGCCAGGCAGGTGAAGTTCACACCTGTGTTGCTGAGACTGTCACAGAGGAGCTGATTCAGTTCTGTGATAATTTTCAGGTCGCACTTTTCTTAAGTTTAATAACTGTCCCAATAAGTGTTAGTGTCTCCCAGCCAGTCAACTATAACAGTCAGCTGTTTCTCTTTTTGCAGATTTTATGACCAACCTGCGATTCTAGAACCATCGGTCTTCTGTGTAACTGTTACTTGCCTCATGCTATTTGAAATACATTTAGGAGGTGCTGATTGTCAGAAGTCATTAACAGGCACATATTGCTAATTGCCATTCAACCTTATATGACTCATTTTCATAGCCGCATCTGTAATTGTGATTAAGCGACTTCAAGTCTTTTTTGTTGGGTTCTATTGCTCTGTCCAGCCTCCCTGAAATATCATAGAGATCATGCTTAAATATGAACACAGCATGACTCTTAATTTTTACTGTTTTGCTTATTGATTTTAAAATTCTTAAGAAGGCTTTTATATTATACCAGAAGCCTATTGCAACCAAGAATAATCACACATTTTAAACTAGACCTGCGCTACCTTCACTAGTATGCATCACTAAAATAATAATAAAAAAAACTTAAAGAAACTTGAAGAAATTTTTCCTACAAAATGTACAATTTTTTAAAAACAGTAATTTTTGTTTAAAAAAAAAAAAAAAAAAAAGCAATGGTTCTATCGATTTCTGCACTCATCATTCGAAATGGGCCCTGCTGACAGAGTGGAGCTCGGATTTAGCTCTTCACACAAAACAACCACCCAGCTCTGTCACCGACAATACACACCTCTGGGTACCTCTAGGACTTTCTGCCTGAACAAGGAGAAAACACAAAATAAAAATATTTCAGAGAAGACCGGAAAACATATTTCTGGCAGATTTTATATTGTTCGAACGCCATAAGAATTACACCCACTCACCTCATCACTCTCCACAAGATTTTCAAACTAGGGAGAGAGAGGGACAAAAAATAGCTACATACAACACATCTGCCAAAAATGATTCACTGAAAGTATAAATGTTAAAAAAACAATGCATTAATATAATATGTAGGAAACCCATTAAAGTATTTCAAATACATACATACATACATACATATCACAGAACTGTATTCATTAACTACAAAAACAAATACTAAATTAAAACCTCCATTCAGGGATTTTAAGAGAACCTCAGTATTTAAAAGTGATACCTCTATAGTGTAATGTTCCCCAGTGGTGCTACTTCTGAAGTACTTCGACCTGTGTGATCAGGAAAAGGAAAAGCAATTTACAGCCAACTGGTCCATTTACATTTTCCTAGTGGAGGTCAAATAATACTTTTAATTGACTGGAAACATATGTGGTCATCTCTTCTTTCATTCTTGTACTACTATCATTCATAATATATGCATTGACTTTCCTGAAAATGAAGTGTAGTTTAAGTAATAGGAGAATTCAGTGTACTGGTCAGAAGTATTTGACTGGAATATTAAGTCACAGGGTGTCATTGGCCTGGGGTGGGATGGGATTTCAAGGGCGTAATTGAAACCCCAGCATCTGGCCTTTTAAAAGGGACTGTCAATACGACCCAGAAGGAGACGTCATTAGATCATGCCACAATGCCAATCAAGTGGCACAATCTCATTTCTATGCATAAAAATATTTATATAGCAAAGAACGTGATTCATAATAGGAGCGCAATTCGGTGTCATTATATATTCCGCATCTACATAGCAAATGGAATAGCTTGGA